CGCCCTTGACCTTCGTTGTGAAACAGAATGGGAGCGTTGTGAAGACGTTCCCTCGTGGTTTCATGTGCGTTTGAAGCCACCTCCTCAGCAGACCCTGCCTCTGATTGACAGCCACTCCCGGCATGACCCAGATCCTTTGATTGGCACAAAAAAATGATGGAGAGCAGAAGAGTTGGGGGAGTTTGCGTGGGCGGATGCTAACTTAAGAGTGTGGGAGGTGATTGTGAAGGCAGAGGTTTAGGTAAAAGGATGAGGGAAAACGCTGCAAAACGATGAGACAGGACTTGAATGAGCTCCTCCTGTTCCAATTTGTATTTTAATCTGCGTTTCTGCTGTTATTTTCCTCTTTACATTCAAAAACTGCCTCGTGTGAAAGAGCGTTCGGAGCTGTGGGTGATGTATTATCCGTCTGCTGGCCTGACGCCGCACTCGCCAATTTCTGTGATTTTACTTCGACTAATCTGTGTTTTACACCCCGCGATGCACCAAAGTGCACATTTGAAACAAGTGTTTTCTTGCTTTCATGCACAATTGCTTCTGATCTTTGCCCATATTTTAGGATAGAAATCACACAAAGGCTCAGTGTGTTGCAGGAAATCATCAAATACATGGGAGATAGTGGCAAAGTACAAGATTAAAACGGCAAGGAAGTCTTCGGAGTGTCTGGTTATCCACTGGATTATATGTAAGAGTACTTTAGAGAGAATATTGTTGACTGTGTGATGGTGGTGAGCCGGACTTCTGCAGGACAATGTATGAACCGGGGCTTTTTGTAATATATATTGCGATATACAAAAACAGTTATATAGAATAGGTTTAAATCACCAAAACAGTGCAGCCTGGTCCACTGGTTGTGGACGGTAAGACCTTTGTAGATCTCTGTTGTCCGGCTGGAGCACAAGTCCGTCATAGCTACAGGTTATTCCACTTGTGACAGCTCTGTTTCCATTTTTCATACAACTCTGGGATGACGACTAGAGTAAAACAGGTGTGCAGTTGTCGAGTGACTGGTTCACGTTCGTTAAACCATCTTTGGTAACTGTGTTAACTTGTGTCATGTCTTTTGCAAAACTTCTTCTTCCTGCCGTTTCTCAAATGGTCTGTAGCTGTACAGTCGTCGTACGGAGCCTTGTGACGCTGATTTAACTGGTTAGTTTGGTGGTTTTGTGTTGTGGAAACAATCAGAAGTACTTTTCTGTTGGCAAAATATTTCGCTACCAAAACGTACTTTCCTTGTGCACAAGTCCATGTGTGTGGACTAAAACATGTTTCATCAAACTAGATGAGTTGTAGAAAATAAGAACGGTATGAGGTTTTTTTTGTTTGTTTAGAGCATCTCAAAAGTTCTTGCTTTCCTTCACATTGCACTCACTGTTACTTTTGCATGTCGCAATGTCAGCGCTGGTAGAAGATTTCCTGCAGCTGCGGTATCGATCATCTGTCCACAGCCTAAATGCCAAGTACATTAGTACTGTGGAGTACAGGGTGTATGTTGTGCACACAAAGGACTCTGGGTCCTGAGATTGCTTAAATGTCTGGAATACTATGAACATTTGTAAAAGATAGAAGTGTTATATTGATTAGTATAAAACCAACCGCACTACTAATTATATCATAAAAATCCCTCCAAAAATGAGCGAAAAACCAAAACAAAAGACACTAATTGAAGATGAACTTTGACACAGAACATGCAATCATCTATTTTTTTTCTCGTGAAAGCTGCTTGTGAATTTAGAGTTTTTGTTAAATATCTCTCAACGTTGACGAAAAAGTCTGAAAGGTGAACAAATGTGGCTTAATTGTGGCCGTGCTCCTGTGAAAAGCCTCCTACTCTGTTGTGTTCACTCTCACTTCACTGCTCATGAATTAGTGTTTGCGTTAACATTTAAAACCCACACAGCCAAAGTCTCTCCTCTTTAAAACTCCATTTTAGTCAGAGCTCAGAGGTTAACTTCAGAAAGTTTTCTTTTTATCAACAGCATGAAGCGATTTCCAAAGTTTGTCGACCGGGTTCGCGAAGCTATCGGCAAAATTAGCTTTTTCAATCGGGATAAGTTGAACCCCATAAAATTAAGCCAAACTTGGCTCAGAGCAGGTGAGAGCTTCCATTTCTGCTGGGAATGGACATTCAGAGCACATGTCAAAGGACCAGAGACGATCATTTCCTCACATCATTTATGGCATTTGGTAGAATCCAGTCGTCTATCCATCCGCTCGTTTTCTGCTGCTTATCTGATTCTGCTCGGAGCAGCAGACAGATAAAGTGGTTTAGAATAAAGTAGGTCAGATATCTTTATTCCCCCCAAAAAATGTGCTCCAGCATTACCTGGATTCACATGTGAGATAGGAGGCGATGCTTTCTGGGTTAGAACTTTGGGCTTTTTTTGGGTTGGGAGATTAATAGCTCAAAGATGTATCGTAACACAATGTTCTAATGCAGCCAGTATTGATCATTATAATCATTTTTAACCACCTGTTTTCAATAAAGCCCAACAGAAAAGAGGTTTGCTTTATATTTCACCGCTTTACTTCATTGTGAGCCAGTGAAACTACGCAATACAGAAAGTGCCTGTCATTGTTCGTATCATTTTATCCTCCAGGACAAGGTTCTTCCCGTAGAATATGTCTAAACCTGAACCTACAAAGGTCTAATTAAAGCTGATTCATTGTTAATCATTTAATTGCCATCAACACTTTACCAGAATGAAAATATGTTAGCGGATAACTGAGAAAACAACAAACATACGTGTCAGTAAATGTATCAGCTGTAGTACCTGGTTGTGCCACTAGGTGGAGCGTCTTACTGTTTATCACCGTAGCGGCCACTTGGACTACCGGCAGTTACGTTTTGGCAACCAGAGGGCATTGTGGGAGTTTAGCTAGCAACGGGCGCCATGACAGAGTCTTCTGTGATGCTTCATGCCAGACCTTGGTTCTTGGAGGTGAACTGGAATGGCCTGGAGGGTTCAAAGAGGTTTCATCTTGACCCCTTAGACATCCACGGAGTTAGTTTCATGTCATTAATAAGCGATTACTGATTGATAAGGCTGCTCTAGTAAAATACCGTTGTATCCCAACGTCTTAAGGGGATCTGGGCTCTTTTTTTTCCTTTTTTTCTTCCAGGGAAACTCAAACTCTCATGACTGGAACATACAGCAGACTCACAAATAAAACAATTTATGCAACCAAATATCATTTACATGACCAGTAGGTCTGCCAGCCCATGTGACCAACATCCTGTGATGCTGTTTGATTGTTTTCAGCTGCTGTATACACCTTCAAGTACCCCACAAACCAAGTAAAGCCATCTGGTGTAGCAGGGAAACACCAGGACAGAGCTGGTGCACTGTCACATCCTGACACAACCAAAGATAAATACGACATAAACCAGCATTCCTTCACGTCTGTTGTCTGCCTCCCCTCTCTGGGTTGCTGCAGCGTTCGGAGGTTGGGGGAATTACTGAAATAACCTCCTTAATGCTAAGTTGAAGAAAGCGTTTTATCCCATACACATGCATTATTAAATAAAAGCCGAAACACCCCAGAGAACGACTGTCTCGTTGAGGCTGCTGATGCTGCAGGAACACCTGCTAATTCTGTTATGGATATCATAAAACACATTACATCTGTTGCAGTTCTTTCCTTAAAAAAAAAAAAACCTCTGAAATGTCAGACATTGCCATCAAACAGTAATTGTGTTGTGGTACAAACAGCAAATGATTCCCACTTATTGACATTTTACCCTAGAATCACACTTGTAGAATAATTTCAGCTCATGTTTAACAGGTTTGTTTCTTACTTGTATTGCTGACAGCGTGTCTCAGAGTGGTTGCATTGAAGCAGGTTCACATGTAAACTCCACACATGATCACACATCAGCACACGCTGCCCTCAGTAATGTCTCCAAGGTTGTTTGTGAGGTTTCGCACTCTCTCTCCGTTACAAAAGATGAATAATTCATCGCTTCGATTGCTTTTTCATCTTTGCCGTTCCCACCCCGTCTTTGCGTATTTTACCTACGGGCATGTTAATCACATACAGACGAGAATCTCCTTGATGAGACACAAAGCATCTGCTCCGTTATCAAATGTGATTACGCCGGGCTGAAGAGATAGTTATACATAGAGGGTGAGAGACGTTCTGGTTCCACCCGGTGAAGTCAGAGCTGAATAAACCCTTCATCCATGAAAAGGTGATGATTCCTCATCTATACGTTGGAGATTATCCTGCTGCAGTCACAAGTCTGGAGGAACACGTCTGATATTTCCTTCCTGAAATTCGTGTCTTGAGTATTTGCCCAGTGCTGCTTCTTCTGCATTAGTTTTGCCTTTTATTTTGTCATCATTTGTGTTCATAATGAAGACAGAGTGTGTTGTGCAAATGTCGGCACCACACAGTCATTACAAAACCAAATTTTCAAAATGTTCTCGCTACACTTAGTTTTGCAAACCTTAACCTCACCGGCGTCTTTTCTTCGCTAATGTTGTAAATAATGTTTTATAGGTCAGTGGAATGGCTCCTGAAATAGACCAAAGTGCCATTAAACTGGGCTCAAAGTGTCCTCTGGAGAAAAAGAAGTTATTTTCTTCGTGAGATCCGGCGCTGCCAGACGCTGGCAGGGTCCCATCTTCACCATGTGATGTCCTGCAAATTAGGACAGCCATGAAAGCTGTGTAAACTTTGATGAGGACGATTGGGGACACTGAAATGTGAGCACATCAGGGAGAGGGTAAACAAAACTGGGAGAAAAAAGAGAAGAGAGGAGACACGCTGCCAATATATTGTGGATGTGGAGAAGAAAAAAGCACCCAGGGCCTCGGTAGATGCTTTTGATGCCATATGTTGCGCTCTGCCAAGGACTTTGAGGCAAAGTCGAAAAAATGAATAATTCACTTTGGCTTTCTCATTTGACCGTCTCTCGCTGTTTTTCCTCTTTCTCTCCTCCACCTTTGCTGTATTTTCAACTCCTTTTTTTTCTTTTCTCGTCTCTCTCTCTGCAGATCACACCTCGGTTGGAGGACTCGGGGACAGTTTCTACGAATACCTGCTGAAGGCCTGGCTCATGTCCGACAAGACCGACGCCGAGGCTCGCAAGACCTACGACGACGCCATCGAGGTGTGTTGTTTTTCACCAGCTATGTCCAACATTTTGCAAACTCTAGGCAGAAAAAAGTAACACAAACGGTTCAGGAATGCAGATGTAGTCATGCAAACTTGCACCATTTACATGCAAATATATGTACAATCTGCATTTTTTTTCCAAAAGTAACTGATGTTTAAACAGTTATGTCCAACTTTTGCAACTCCAACTAGAAAAAATAACAGCACCGGTTAAGAAATGCAGATGTAGACACGCAAATTTGCAACATCTACATGCTGCTAAGAGTTAAATCTGCAGTTTTTCCTTAGTTGTTTCAAAATCAACTCATTAATATTTGACCAATTAATCTCCAACTTAGAAAAAGTACCAGAAATGATTCATAAATGCAGATATAGTCGTTCAAACTTACACCATCTCCATGTAAATATCTGTAAAATCTGCATTTTCTTTCAACAATAAGTCATGGATGGTGATAATTAAACAGTTACGTCTGACTTTTGCAAACTCCAGGCAGAAAAAGTAGCACAAAGAGTTCAGGAATGCAGATGTAGAGATGCAAACTTGCACCATTTACATGCAAATGTCTGTACAATCTGCATTTTTTCCTGTGTTTTTCTCAAAGATAGTTTTTGTTATTTCAAAATTATCTCATGGACGGTTATATTTGGTCAGTTATGTCCAGGATTGGTGACCTCAAGGCAGAAAAAGTAACAAAAACAGTTCAGGACTGCAGATGGAGACATGAAGAGTTCATTTGCAAAAACACATAACTCCATTTTTGTAGATTTTCAGAGAACTTGTTTTTGTTGTTTGCTTGAGATAATATCAGTCAAACTGAAGCTGAGTGGATTCGACTCAGTAGAGCAGAGATAACTTAAGATCACTGATGTTGTCTCAGGTAGATGATGGAAAAGTGGGTTTTCTGAAGGTTTCTGAAGATGGAATTATCTGTTTTTTGCAATTGACCTACATGTAAACTTATAAACTGTTAAATCTGCTTTTTTTTTCCTGAGTTTCTTCAAAAACAGCTCCGACTTCATGCAGGACACGTTAATCGGTCACAGCTCCGGCTGTAAATGCGACCAGTTATCCTGCTGAGATGTTGCATTGTTTGTGTCGGGGTGGATTTAGCAGGAAGCAGATGCTGGTGGTTCTGCGGTTGATGAAGATGTCTGTTAATCAGTTAGAGTGTCAGAGATTGAGCAGAGCAGATGCCGCAGAGCAAAGGGTGAGGGATGTGGCCGGATTTTAAACTTGGCACTCGGAGCTCCGTTCGGTTTTTGCCTCTGTTTGCACTCGGTGTCAACGACCCGCTCACAAAACCCCGGTTTCCTCTTTAATGATCCACATTCTCACGCAAACACAAGCTTCATGCGTCCTCATGTGCTCCGGTCGCTTCCACCGCCTGCATACAAATGTCCACTTCTGGCCACATGCTCACTGAGAACGGTTCACTTATCTCCCCTTAATGTCCACAGTTTGTAAAGTTTCCACTGTTATTCTCTCCCTCCAGGCCATCGAGCGCCACCTGATACGCAAATCCAACGGCGGCCTGACGTTCATCGGCGAGTGGAAGAACGGCCACCTGGAGAGGAAGATGGGCCACCTGGCCTGCTTCGCCGGCGGCATGTTCGCGTTGGGCGCCGACGGCTCGCCCGATGACAAGGCCGGACACTACTTGCAGCTCGGAGCCGAGATCGCCCACACCTGCCACGAGTCCTACGACAGGACGGGTGAGGAGGGCGGGAGGCGCCGCATACACAAACACCAGCACACAGCGGCGGACGACGCACCGATAGCAGCAGCCATTAACCTCATGCTTTTAAGATGAGCAGCAACAACAGCTCGTTCAGCACAAGCAATTCAACAAAACTTCTAAAGGCTGACTTTTCCTTCTCACAGAATCTGTTTAATCAAAGTTAAAGGTCGTAAAAAGCACGTTAACAGCTCGTTGCAGCTCGTTTCAGGTTTTCAGCTTCACTGTCGGCTACGAACGTCACCAGACAATGTCGCAGTTGGCGCCGATAATGCTGAAATTCTGCGATTCCCGATGCCAGCTCCAAAAAGAAACAAAACAACATGGATTTAAACAAACAAAATCGGAAGTCTTGCAATTTGTTTTGACGTTTCTACCATAAAATCTGCCGGAGCTTCAGGGTTCCAGAGATGGAAGATGGGTTTAGGCCAACTTCCCATTCAATTCAATGGGTTTTAATGCATTTTTTTATTTTTCATTTTTTTTAATTTTTGTAAAACCAGTTGGACAAATCGCCACCAAATGACGGAGCACACCATTCACCATCGAGCTGCACGTTGTCATGATGAAAATCTAGAGAATCTGTAATAAGAATAAACCCAGGCAGCAACAATAAACGAGCTTCGATGCTTGTACATTGGCACCTTTGAACATCTGCACTTGCAGACGCTGTTCTGGAGAAAACTCAATCTTCCGTAGGCTTTTTGTACTTTCGGTTCCATCAACAATGAGTTGCATTTCAGAATGTTGCTTTTTGACTTTGTACTGAATTGTGGCTGCTTCCTCAACGTCGACCCCACGTCCCCCATCACTGACTGGTTCATACCCAACAAGTCAAAGCAGTTTGGTTGGTCTTCAAAGTCATGCAGATTACATTTTTATGGCAGAAATACAACATTTTTAGGTCTGTGTATGTAAACAAAAAGTGGAATTGAAGCATCGTTAACTGATGGCATGAGTGGAGATTTCTCTGTGACATGCTTTGAAATAACTGTTTGAACCTGAAGATTATCATTTTCAACATTTTATTACAGAGAAATATCACATTTTGACCACAACATGAGCTTCCACATCAAACCAGACTGTAGTTTCTTTACTTTGTTTTAAAAGCCACAAACCCTCGACCCGCCCAGCTGACTACGAATCAGACGCTCGTTGGTCCGATTTCTCAGCTGGTTTTTCACATTTTCAGCGTAAGTTTATCATCCGTTCGTCGGAGGCCGACTGGGATCGAGTCGGCACGGAAACGCCGGACTGTGATCTTGCATCGCGATTGTATGCGTGTAGCCGGGAAACCGCGAGGTTAGTCTGAGAAAGAGGAGAGGTTGCCGTGGCAACAAATGAAGATGGAAGAAAAGGGGGTTAGGGAAAAAGGAACAGGAAAAGGGCGGGAGGAAGAGGAGGAAAAGAGGGAGAACTCGACAGCGGCGACGAGGCTGTGTAAAATCGTCCTGTTAGTTAATGAGCAGCCGTTCGCGGCGGATATCGAACGTGTGCGGCGCCATGTTTGTGTGTTTCTGTGTGTGTTTTAATCCTTTCAGAGACGCTGCTGTCACTGCTTCGTCAGCGTCTCGGCGATTTTCCACGCTCAGACTCGTAATGCATATCGCACTTAATTAGCAGAAAACACTGGCTGTGAAAAGATGAAAAGCCGGTGGAATCAATGGGGTTGGATGGTTTTTATTGGAGGCTCTAATTCATATGAGGCTTGACTTGTAATCACCGGCAGCCGAAGCATTAAGATAAACAGGGATGATGTTTGTTTTGTCTCCCCTCTTTTCAACCTTTGATCGTTCTTTCTTTCTTTAACCGCTTCCTCTCTCCAGTGCTGAAGCTCGGCCCGGAGGCGTTCAAGTTCGACTCGGGCCTGGAGGCGGTGGCCGTCCGGCAGAACGAGAAGTACTACATCCTGCGGCCGGAGGTCATCGAGACCTACTGGTACATGTGGAGGTTCACCCACGATCCCAAGTACCGGCAGTGGGGCTGGGAGGCGGCGCAGGTAAAACCGCTCACGCATGTAGAACCGCTGCACTAACACCAGCGAATAAACCCCATGTTCATTTTTTACACACCTCGGGACTTGGTGAGACATTTTTGGCTTTATTAAATGGAGGACGGCCATGAAAACGGGGTGAAGACGGATGGAAAAAGTTCACTGCATGAGTCACGAGCTCCTTCTGCTCTTGGAAATGAAAGAGCATCACAGAGGAGGGAGCGGAGTTACAAATAGCAATGCGAGGCACATTTTTATGGGAACTGCACGCTCAAGTGATGGAAAAAACCAACAGAGAATTAAGTCTACCTTCGCTTTTAGTGATCTGTGTCATATCCAAGTGCTGTGAAATTAAAATAGCAGCCGTAAAACACACTGAATTAAAGAAAATAGGAATAAAAAGTCATAACAGAAGATGGAGTCGAGCTCCACTTGAGTCAAAACAAACGAGATGATGTGTTTAAAGTCTGAGCAGTTCTTATGTAAAAAGGTTAAACGTGCCAGAGATTAAACGTCCACAAGCATCTGGTAGTTCAGTCTCAGTCCTTGTGTGAAGATGTAAACAGTTCTGTTAAAAAAGGTTGACCTGTTTAAAACTTTACAAACACTAAGATTAGGTGACTTACAAAAGTCTAATTGCACGGTAATTTTAAAGTCTTTGGGAGATAAATTGACAACGTTTTAACTGCATGAAGCTAGCTGTGACCACGTAGCTGAAAAGTCTGAAGGAGCTCTGTAGGGTCACGCCAAAGTTTTTCCAAAAGATGGAACAATCAAAAGTCAAGGAATGATCCCAAACATAACAATGTCACCGTTAGTTTCATTAGGATAAAGTTTAGATCCATCTGGTTCTCGTGTCTTTTAGGACGTCCCATAAATAGCAGCGTTGAATCTTTGCTTTATTATTCCTCTGGGCTGATAGGTTTGTAAATCATACATATAGAAAACAATTGGGCCCAAAATGGAGCCCTGAGGAACCCCCCCGAAAAATCAGCAAAATATTTACAAACAGAGAATCTCGTATCGGTCGGATCTGAATCAAACTATTCAACCTGATGTAAGAGATGATGATGAGAGATGATGTAGAGAAGATCAATAAAAACTCCTCAAAGAGCTGATTCATGGTGATCTTAAAAAAAAACGAATGCTCTCTATAAAACTTCCACTTGAGATTCTGCTGTTTGACAAAAATGTGCGTAAAACATAAGAGAAGAAAAACATGACTTGAAGAGTTTGTCTTGATGCAAAAACCAAACACTTCTGGTTTTCCTCGTCCAGGAAGTCGACACCACATCCCAACTGGACACGATCAAACACAATATCATTCTTAGTGCCGTATTGATTTTTATCATCTTACATGCTTTCACAGATTCTCTGAACAAACACATGTTGAACCTTTCTTTATTATAACAGCTCAACAATGTGCAAACATCTGTTGACCAAAAGCCAATAATCTGTTTCTTCCACATGAAGCTTTTTTCCCCCTTTTCTTTAGATTAGTAGAGTTAGACAACAGAGATTAAAAAAAGAAAAAGTTTGATATTAGGTTTAACAGTGAGCTCAGAGTTCTAAATTCACTTCTTTACTAAATGATGCACGCTCACAGTGATTACTAAATGAAAGATCTGCACCAATAAAGTCCAAAAACTTCAAACCAATGAGAACGTTCTGCGTTTTGTGGCCGATTGAAATTAGAAATCTGATCAAATCCTGTCACAGTTGGAGTGTCAGAAGGCAGCGAAGGCAGGTCCACGGTTCTGTCTTAGATAAAGATCCAAGTTCTGCCATCGCTGTGTGGGATTTATCTCTTAAAGCATCTAAACGGCTTGTTCTTGTGTTTTAACGCGGCGTCAGAATGAGTTTTATTATGACGATCGATTAGTCTTTCCGCTCAAAGCGTGTCACCGGCGAAGTAAAGATTTTAAGATTCGTTTGCACCGAGCGTCAAACGGCAGAATGAAAGGACTTGAAGCAGTTTTGTTGTGAAGCTCGATTTACAGAAAACTACGTATACAGTCTGTGTGTGGTCATAATAATAATCCACCTGTGACGGGTTGATTTCTCAAAAAAAAAGCCACTTTCTTCTACGTGTACTTTCTAGCGTCTGACGGATGTTTTCAGGTGTTATTAGTCCCTCTTTTGTGCTTTAATATGAAAAGCTGTATGGAAATAGAACAGAAGCCTCCTCTATCCCTTTCACTCTGCTGCTCTTCTGACAGAGGATTAAAGTGTCTCCTCTGTATAAATCTCCTTCCAGATTTTTTATTTTTTTCTCTCCACACTATAGTTTTCTCTCTTTTTTTTTTTCCCTGCCAGTCTTCTTTAAAAAAAAAAAAAAAAAAAACTACGACTCTTTGTTTTTCCTGAGTGGGAGTGAGCGCTCATGAGCCAAGTAAATATATTGGCAGGTGTGTTTATGGAGTGTGATTGTGCTGACGGTGAGTGACACTAAAGAGAGCTGCAGCTGAAGGCTTCGTCCTGCATTATTTAATCAACTGTGCACGCGCATGCTAATAAATCTGACACATCCTATGCGGCTCTTATTTAACGTCGCTGCATTTCTGTCATAAAGTTTAAAAAAAACAACTTTTAATCATTTAATCAATTAAAACAACCTCGTGTTCAGATGGCTGTCGGTATTGTTCTGTTGTTGTTTGGGTGAGAAAAGAAAGTGATAATTATTGATTGCAGTTTTTTTTTTTAAACATTTTTTAACAGTAGTTTTTCATAATCAGGTGTTTGTTTTTTGTTAGAAGGTGTTTTTAATTATGTCTTAACAGATGAAATAGGCGTCACGTTCATTTCTTGCTTCTAATTGTAGTTTTTTCACACACTTTGTTCGTCTCAGGTATTTTCTAAACGCGACACATTTGCAGAAGCGGTGCACGAAGCCAGAGCTGCATATGGCTTTCCAGTAATTGATAATCCTGAAACCACAGATATGTTCAGGTTTTAAACTGTATATTTTAACCTGAATAGTTTGTTTTTGTGTTGTTCTTGTGGGAAATCTGTATGTTTGTTCAGGAAAAGAAAAACGTTAGTATTTTTAGTTTTAGCTGCAAGGATTTTCCGTCCTCACTCGTGATGTGATGCATTGTTGGAGGCCAGCGAGATCCACATTGTGCTTGTTTTGTTCCTCTCAAATTCGTTTAATGTAATTAACACATTCTTCCTCACTGTGGGCTCGTTTTTGATTTGAAGTCCTGCACCTCTATGGAAGCGGCACCACCGTGACGAGAAGAACGTTCAATTTAAAGCTGAAAAACAAAAGTAGAAATGGAAAAAAAAATGTAATATAATGTCCAACGTTTTTCAAATTTGTTACCAATGTTGGACAAAATGGTGACTCGACATCCAACGGACATTTCTATGGACATTTTTACAACTTGTTCATTTTGTAATTTTCTGTTCAGTTTTCACTCGAAAAAATTAAGATTTGTCACCGTACTGAATCTAATTAGCTCACCTGAATGCTGTTTTTAAGCCATTTATTTATTTGTTCAGTCATTTTATGTTGGCGGGCTGCATGGTGGCTCGGTGGTTAGCGCCGTCGCCTCGCAGCTAGAAGGTCACCGGTTCATGTCCCGGTGAGGACACCCGGGATCTTTCTGCGTGGAGTCTCCATGTTCTCCCCGTGCAGCGTGGGTTCTCTCCGGGTTCTCCGGCTTCCTCCCACAGTCCAGAAACATGCTGAGGTTAATTGGTGATTATAAATTGTCCGTAGGTGTGAATGTGAGTGTGCTTGGTTGTCTGTCTCTAAGTGTAGTCCTGTGATAGACTGGTTACCTGTCCAGGTGAACCTGCCTTCACCCTGAGTCAGCTGGGATAGAGGATTAAGGTGTAGAGATGATGGATGGATTTCATGTTTGCGCTCGTTTTTTATTCGTTTTGTTTTGTTTGTTTTGTCTCCTGAATACTGTAAATTTCACGATTTTGAGGTTGGATTTGGTGAACTGTTCCTCACTCATGATCAGTTCACAGATAAATCCAACGTCAGTCATCGATTTGTTCCATTTTTATAGTTTGCAGCTGTGATAGATGCAATCCAAACCAGCAGAGTGGCTCCTTTTGACCAAATCTCTGCAAATTTTTGGTGAATTCTTAATCGAGACACGAAGAATGAAGCGATTTTGATGAAATATCACAGTTTTGATGTTAGATTTGGTTAATTTGTGGAAAATGCGACGAGTCTTACGGGTTGATTTGTTGAAGATAACGTGCCTCTAAAGCTCGTCACTGGGTTTGGGGAGTCAGAGGGTTAATTAATGTTAACTTTTTAAGTTTCCCACCCAGAACCCGAGGCTGTCTCTCTCTTCCTCCTGTCGGCCTCTTTACCTCAACCACCAAACGTTTTTCCACAAACACCTCCGGTCTTTTTTCCGAATGCGGCCTCGAAGCTCCGCCGGCCGGTATCAATGGCTGCAGCGGCCGGAGGAAGCCTGACGAACGGACGGGTTTTGTGCAGCAGATGGATGCAGCTGCGCTACAGAGGCGGCGTGTTAAAGTGTGCGCCTACTGTACATGGTGGCTTTTTGTTTGTGTGTGCAGCCTGCGTGAAGGTGAAGCCCAGCTGCCGTAATGTGAAGTGTGTCCTCAGTCGGCTGCTGCAGCCTCACCGCTCCTCCTCCTCCTCCACCTACAGTTAGACTTTTTATCAGATAATTTATTTAGCACAGATGGCCCTGAGACGTGTGCGTGTTTCAAATGCACGAGTACAGCTTCTCCAGACTGGGTTTCAGCGCGGCCAGAGCTCTCAGGTTTCCACGCTGTTGAGCGTTTGTTGCTGATGCGACTCGTGTTTGAATGCGTCTTTTAAAAGACATAATGGAGGAAACGCTCGGCTGCTGCAGCGTGGGCGGAGAAGGACAGTCGCACGTCGTGGGCGCAGCGGCCCGTGAATAACGGGAATTATGGTCCGAAGTCCTGGCGACAGAAATCTGCTGACACCAGAGCGGTCAGTCGAGGACGAGACGGAGGGAGGAGTGTTTGCCTGCGCGTGACAAGGGCGCAGATAGCGCTCTCCATTACGTGTGTTGATAGTCGATAAGAGCATCGGCGTCGAGAATTTTCTATGAATCTCACCGTAGCAGGTAGCGGTGGACCGTCGGCGTCGCCAGATGGACGGCTGCTGCATTTTTAAAGAGGTTAAGTGTGTTTCTGTGCCCAGAGGTGTCGAATGATTCAGACAGCCAACGTCAAAGATACGCAGAGCCTCACAACAGACGTGTGATGTAGCACACACGGACAGGTTGTGTGTGATAACGACGCCTGATTGGCTGCAACATATGCCACACCTGCCACTACATGTGATCTCATGTGCACGTACGCTACGTCAACACCTGCTCCTGCACCGAGCTGCCCTGAATTTGCACTTCCTTCATCCTGCCTCCTGCCCTCACTGATTGGACGATACCCCGACGCGGTGCTCCAATCAGACTGCGCTGCTGGATTGTGTGTTTTCTGGTACTCGGGTAGATCATGGCTGTTCCAGAAAGACATTTTGAGTATCGCTGTGCTGTTGCATGTATGAGTTTGGTAACCTGGTTCTGTTCAGAAACTCTGATTTAAATCAGCAGTAAGAAGAGCCTCCCTCTAACTGACTCTTTCCTCTCTGAGCCACTCAGAGTCTCAGCTGATGGAAAATGTTTCACCTGTTGATCTGTACGTTACTAAAGCCTCAGAATGAAGCCGTGGAGTTACAGTGTTTAGTTTTAGTTGAGTCCACTAACACAAAGAAAGTCAAACTTGCTCCGTAGAACGACCCTCAGATGTCGGGGGGCCACCTTTTGTTGTCATGTTTGTTTGATAAGCACAGCTGAGTGAGCGCAGGTTTAATTTCATTTGCTGTTAAGATAGAACATGTAAACGGGTTTGAACGCTTCTATTTAGAAGTTTTCTTTTTGTTTATCTTGAATTTTGGGTTGTCCCGATTGCTACGAGTCATTTAATATTTAGCATCTGTCCCAATCTGGTGCCATTTTCCTCGATGGTAAGCTCTTCAAGTCTTGTATATTATCTACAGTACCTGGTTGCACCACCAGATGGAGCCACATTCTCTTTAATACTGTAGTGAGCAGAGGAGGTTAGCAGTTGTGTTTTGTGGAGGTTCTTTGGCTTTGTGTCCTGTGCCTTTGATTTTTTTTACTCATCCGTCTGGTTGTGTACAGTTCCTTCCCCCCCAGAGAGCCGGGTCAGTACAACACCTTACAGTTCAAAAGGTATCCGGCCCTGTGCATCGGTACGCTTTGTATGTTGTAGTTGGTGCGCTGGAGCAAGACAACTTTAATTTGTTTTCACCACAGGACACCATGTTTTCATTCGGACGTCTTAAAAACCGCCACATATTCATGTCTTTGCTTCTGGACTCGTTGTGTTTCCCTCTTTGAAATCTTTATAGCGTAACTTGTGGACGACACGAGGAAAATTCAGAGCATTTCTAAATATGTTCCTCTCCGGTCACTGATTAAACCCCTTAAAACCTTATCGCTTTATATCGAAGTTACGCTGTAAAACTACTCTACGCTTCACAGTGGCAACTTGTTTTATTGGAATAATTCAGTCATACGTGACGGAAACAGATTCTGAAACAGATGGAAAGTTTCCCGGATTGGTTCTTCAGGTTTGTTCTGTAGGAAACCCCAGAAGTCTGAATTTGCCAGAGCACCGACTGCTTCTGTAGCTCATGAAATATCTTCTAGCGTGTAAAAAAAAACATGTTAAAAAGGTAATAAAAGTCGATTTTTACCTTCAAGAACCGGTTAACTTTGACGTTTTGTTGTTCCTCATCCGGTTCTGTTCGTGTGAGTCACGGCACACGAGGCATCGGACCGTTTAACGCTCCGGGTTCTGCTGTTATCTGACTGGGCCGTCCTCCACGCTTTCGCTCCCGGTAACACGCTGACATCACATCTTTCATGCTCAGAGAATCGGCGATAAAACCCTCGAAAGAGAAGAGACGGAGGGGGATTTACATCACAATCCGAGCCACCTACGAGCGCGTTTTTAATTTTGTCCTGAAAAAGGCCGCGTGCCCGAAAGGAAACCGCCGACGAACGAGATCGAAACACGTCGAAAACATCTCATTTTCCCAATCAGTGGAAGCTGAACTTTTATTTCACCGTTGCACTCCAGCTACCGCACAAGCGGCGTAACGGGGAAACTAATGAGTGTGCATCCTCATTACGCCGCTGCTTTGTGTCGAGGAAGAACCAAGAAAAAAAAAACAACAATATTTAGAGGATGAGATGTAAATGTGGAGGCAGGAGCGTTTGTGGTAATCTTTTTTTCTTCGTATTTTCTACAGCCGCTGCCTCCCGTACGTCTCCCCAGGACTCGCTCTAATCTGTCACAAGCAACGAAATTAATTATAGCATGCTTTTATAAGCTTATTAAAACTGTGCTCTCCTCCCTCCCCCACCTTTTTCTCTTTGCCCTTTTCCGTTGGCTTCTCTTGCATTTGATCCTTCTCCTACCCTCTTCTGTTGTTGTTTCCATCTATTCCCGTCACACCGCTTGCTCCCTTCGTTTGTTTGTTTTCTCGACTCCTAACTTCACTCCCAACGTCCGTCCTTTCTCCTGTTCTGACGTCCTTTCTTGTTTTGTTCCTCCTCCAGGCCATCGATAAGTACTGCAGGGTGAGCGGCGGTTTCTCGGGGGTGAAGGACGTCTACTCGTCCAACCCGACCTACGACGACGTGCAGCAGAGCTTCTTCCTGGCCGAGACACTCAAGTAAGCTAATGTGTTGATTAATTGGCGCGATCTGTGAATCATCTGTAATTAATTAATCACTTTTGTGATTAACGCTGTGATTTGGTGGGCGGGTGGGTGGTGGGCCCGCTGATTGAAGGGACTCGTCAGCGAAAAAGTGATTGCAATAATCACTTGTTCGTGCTTTACCTCTTTACTTCTAAAACGAAAAGTGTTTTCAAAGGTAAACGTTGAGCTTGTCTGCTGGAGTTTTGAAGCTGATATTCTTGAGATATATGTTAGATTTATGTTAAAAAGCATCGTCACCTTTCTAGCAATCCATCTCACAAACTAGTTAGTAAATTACTATCAAGACAAAGTTTAACTCGGCACCACTGTCTGCTCTGCTACATGTGCTGTCGATACCAAGCTTAATGGAGTAAGGAATACAGGTATCGATGATTCGGCCGATATTCTTTAGATATGTGTTAGATTTATGAAAAAAAACATTGTTTATTACCTTTCTAGCAATGTAGCTCACAGACTAGCTAGCAACTTAGCATGAAGACAAAGCTTGACTCCGCACCACTGTCTGCTCTGCTACATGTGCTGTAGATACCAAGTTTAGTGGATAAGGATGCTGGTATCGATATTTCTGCTAATATTCTTTAGATAGGTTAGACTTATGTTATTTACCAGCAAAGTATTTTGCACACTAGTTAGCAGCTAACTCTAAAGACAAAGCCTGACTCCGCACCACTGTCTGCTCTGCTACATGTGCTGCAGACAGTACTAAGGGTGTAGAACCCATGGAGTCAGAGCTGCTCTTCTTCACAAACTGTGATCGTAAGAATTAAGGAAACTAATATCTTTTGTATTCTGTTCCATAAAAGTAAAGATACGCCGATACCGACATATCTGTGGCAGGCTGATGTCTGCCAATAATATAGAACAAACCAATATATCGATCAGGCTCTAATTTTAACTATAAAGCAGCAATAAAGAGAAGTTATAATATCTGAAGTCGTCCTTCTGTATTCAGCGAGAATCCTTCAAACTTAGTCCCTGGAAAGTGTTTCCTTCCCTCGGTGCGCTGAAGAAAAGTTTGCAGTGGTGTGTTGAGCTAATGTGTTCTTGCGGCGTTCTTCAGAAGGTAATAACAGGTTAACGCGCCGCCATCTGTTGTTATTTCCTTCTATTAGAGCCCTTTTGCTTTGAGCACAGTGGGACAGCATCAAGCTTTGTTCGCAGCTACGCAATGTTCCAAAGTCTGATTAATGCGAAGGGCAGCTCCGGTGTCTCTGTGGTACATCATCACCACTGATGGATGAAGGAAGAGGAGGCTCTGACTGCAGCCTGTGACCCAGAAGGGGAAGTGAAGGCTAACGTGGCTCTCTGGTTCCCTCTGCTGGCGGCTCTGTGGCTGTCCTCCTGGTGTTGGACTGTTTACATGCAGCCTGATGGAGCTCGGTGGTTACTGTCAGTCACAGCCCGACGGGTCAAACATAATCATAAAACAGAGGTTTTATTGGCCGCCCTGTCACCTCCTGTATTAGCATGAAGCTACTTATCAGCCCTCCGTTTTCAGCTTTAATGTGTCGGAAATTAACACCCACAAAGCATCAAATGCCAGTAAAATTTGTCTTTGGTGTACGAGTCGTTAAAGGTCAGCCGCCGCGCTGGCTGGTAGCTCTGAGACGATGACATTTCACAGCCTCGGCCTTGTGCAGCCTTTGGTGTCTGTCTGGTGTCGGGCTTTGTCCCTGCTGGCCGCGAGCCAATCGCCTCGCGGCAACGCAGCAGCTCGGCGTCAAACCGGCTGCTGATTGGCTGCAGCATCCCAACGTCCAGTGAGAGCTGCAAACCAAGGGAGCAAGTTTTAAATCTGGTTATTTACATTCTTGTGCTCTGACGTCTGTGCACAAAAATCGACCAAACACATGCATGTAAATGTTTAAGGAAGAGAATTTAATTACATTTCCTCCACAGTGATCTCTATATATTCATATCTTCATACATACATGAGCACATGTTCTGCACAAAGCAGAAGAAGTTGCAGAAGTCGTGAAAACACCCGTGAGTCACGTCTGACTGTTGTTCAGTCAACTTCTGGGGAACTTATTTGTTAACAGGAACAATGAAAGTAACAACAACAACCTGATCTTCCATCATGTACTAAAGTAAGAAGAGGACGAGGCACCAGCGAGTCCGGCTGTTAGTGCAACAGACTAAAACAGTGTCGACACAAAAACATCTTTTAAAAAAGGGTCTTTTTTTTTTATAGATTTAAAAACATGGCTTTAGCTTCTTCATGAAAAACAACAACTAAAACCTACATCAGCGACGGCCTTTATGATGAGATGCAAATGAAATCCCGAGTGCATCACAAATAACAAAGCCACCTGGCCCAGGTTGCCGTAGCAACGCACAAACACGGCACACGGCGTGCAGGTAACCGAGGACTCCCGCATCCATAAACCGTGGGTTTGAAAAGACGGCACAGAGCCGCCTTCCTGCAGCGAGCTGGGCGCATGGAAATCAAGCTGCACAACAAACACTGTTCATCACCTGGAAGAAGTTTTGTGGTGAAAATTTCCAACGAATGTTCATTTGTTCTGCACTGTGCATGCAAATGACCCCACATGTGACTGAAACGAGCTGCTTTAACCCCTGAACCCGGAGCAGAGTCACGTTTTCACTCACTGTGGGTTCATTCTGCACGGCAGCAAACAGAGAGTTCAAAGATGACAGTAAATCATTAAAAAAAAAAAAACAAGTAGATTTTTTAATTTATTTTTGAGTTACAAAAACATTTCAAACCAGGAATCAACATGTGCAACAATTTTCCATTTTTTTTGTTTTTTACTAATAATTAAAATCAAATAATGACTCAAATGTTTTCATCTCCTTCCATTAAAGAAAACACAAAAGTCACTCAAATAACTAGAAACTGAAAAAAGTAATAATAAATAAAAATTTGCTAAATTATAATTTAGTGAAATAAGACGCTGGTTTTGAATTGTGGTCGAAAAGAAAACAAGAAAAAAAACCTGTCCCAGACAAATGAGAGCCCTCTGCTGATGAGCAGTGGACCAGAACACCTGTCAACAGGTGCAGAAGTCTGACTGAGAGTTACAGGAAACACCTGATGATGGCAGTGATTGGCTCAAAGGGTTGTTCAACTAAATATTAGTTTACTGGTCCCATCATGCTGGTTTTACTTTTGTCAATTTCAACTTACTCCAGTGATTGTCTTCCTTCTTTAATGGGAGGGTGAAGAAATATGAGGACGACTGAACCCACTATAGATATTTAACTACCTACATTTTTCAGTGTTTGCCTTTAGCTCTAGTAAAAGTATTTCACTGTGCTGAATGTATCGTCCAACACTTTTTAAACAGGCTGCGTTCATCGCATCGACCAATATGTTTTATTTGACTCCCCGTCCTGCTCGTTTGCTTCGTCTCCTGCAGTTCAGCCCAATAATCCCTGATTTTATGTCAGAACGCTTTTTGTGTTTTTGCAGATTCTGTTGAGCGCGAGCGGTTTATCGTTGGGGGAATTCTAACGATCACCATTTTAAGCTGAGAGTCCGTTCATGTCTGCGATGAACTCTCACACGAGGAGCGTCGGGAAGCCGATGAACCGACGACGGTTTCTGCTTCTTGCTGTGTTGAACGCAGGAAACCTGATGGTTTATTAAACGTCAGCCGCTGGCGTCTGAAATAGAAATGTTAAAAATGAGGAAGGTCAGACGTAACTTTGCTTTTCTTCCTCCTCACCCTCCCTCTCCTCCTCACACCCTCTCCTCCCCCGTCCACCACCCTCAGGTATCTGTACCTGCTGTTCTCCAGCGACGACCTGATGCCGCTGGAGAGCTGGGTCTTCAACACCGAGGCTCACCCGCTGCCGGTGCTCCACCTGGGCAACATCACCCTGCCGGGCAGCGAGCCGGCTCAGCGGTAGACGGACCGGACCTCCCGACTCGGCCGCGGCACTGAGGGGGGGGCGTCCACCCGCCTGCCTGCCCCCCCCACAAAAAAATAAACAAACAACAAAAACAAAAACAGAACACACCCACCAACAACACCGGACACACTTACATTCAGACTCTCAGCTGCTTTTGAAGGGCAGAGAAACGCTCCGGCACCGATCGAGTGAGAGGACTCGCCAGCCGACTCTCTTCTTCTATGTTTTACTCCTTGTGTCTTCTCTGCTGAAATCAGGAGGACGGTGGGTGTGCCGCCTCACGTCTGGCTTGAATCGACTCTTTCCTCTGACGGACGGACGGACGGACGGACGGACGGAGCTCCAAACCAGAGGCTCGATTAGGGTTTTTTTTGTTATTATTTTTAGTCTTTATTTGACCAAACTTTGAGCGGACTCGAGCGCCGAGATGGGATTTTGTGAAGGATTAACGCAGTTCGACACTGTGCCGACCGAGTTTTGTTTTTCCAGGCAGACAGACAGACGCGAGGACTTTACAGGGTCTGTTGATGAGACGTGGTATTTTTTTTTTTTCGTCGTTGTTGTTTTGGACGAATCGTTAACGGGGGGACACAGGGTCGAATCAAAGCCCTTCGCTTCTTCTCCCCGACCCGAGCCCAGTTTAATCGGATGAACTTTGTCCCGGAACTTTTAGCGGATGGTCGCGAGTTCGGGAGCAGACCTCACCTCCTCTAAATCCTCAGTTTTCAGACGAGCGGACCATCGTAAGCGGATCAGCAGCGACCCCAGCAGGCCTCCAACACTCCCCAGACGACTTCTCCATTCTGCTGCTACTCCACTGGATGCTGCTTTTTTTTAAGCTCCACAATCGTCTCCTGTCCTCTTATTTCCCGCCTTTTTTTTCCCGCCTTTTTTTTCCCCCCTCCATAAATCGCTTCAGATTATTTTCAGATTGCGAGGCGACGTGTGGAAGTTTGTGTTTGTGTGGCGGTTAAAAAAAAAAAAGCTGTAGATGATTTGTTTGTGCACTTTGAAAGACTATGAAGACGAGGACAGCGGAGGTGTAGCACTGAATAAACGAAGGCCTTCTCATGTCCCACTGCTGAGCTCCACATCATCAGGTGCCACCAACATTTCTCTTTCTTCCCGCTTTGTTTTCTACTTTCACCATCTACTCTTTTTTTTTTTTTCCAAGCTTCTGTCGTCTACTTTAACCTCTACCTCCGTGAAAACTCCCAAAACAACCTGGAGGCCTTTAGTCTCGCAGTTCCTACAAGACTCTGAAATAATGTAGAAGTTTGGTTTGAGAAAATTTAGTCTTAAAATCATGTTTTCAGCTTCAGTTATACGCTCCGGTCACCTGATAGATTTACTGTATGCAGCTGCAGACGTGATTCGTCTCATCGTCCGGCTTTAAAATATCGACGCAAAATCACCAAACAGAGCAAATAATAATTGTTTTTTTTAATACATTTTGAAATGCACACGCTCTGCTGAGACTTTGTAAATTCTCTTTTGGAGGTCACATTAATTAACCCGCTTTGTATCCTGCAACATATCAAGATTTTGTTGTTTTATAGCTTAAAAAAAAAACTTTAAAAAAAACAAACTGAAACCGTTCCTTTTGGTGAATTCAGACATTTGACGTGCTTCGACTGATTTATCGAAAAGTCACGAAATATTGGAAGCAGGAAAGAGACAAAAACTCGAGCACGGTCATAAAATATCATATAAAAACCAGATTTGGTTCCAGTTTTAGATGCTATAAAGAAGCTAAAAGCCTAATTTCGATAGTCCGGCGTCGACTTTAACCGTCTCCTCTCAGCTGAATGAACCATATCCGAGGCAGGTCGAGATGCTGACCGAAGGAAAATCATCTTTAGGTGTCCGATTGTTATGAAATAACGTCAACCTTTGATTAATCCACTGTTCAAAATTAACAAAAAAACAGTTTTTTTGTTATAAAATCCGTTACACTTTGCTGTTCCTGTGATTCTGGTGTCTGTTGTTCATATGAGCCAAATGTTTTCCATTTTATTTTAATGTTTTCCAGCCAGTCTAAGAGGACATCTACGAACTCGGTCGCAGTTTTTACACCACATTAGCCCATTTCTAAAAGTACAGACGACGAGCGAGAGAGACGTTTAAAGTGTCGTTGATGTGAAATTAAACCTCTCGTGTCCAGATTCTTCATATCAACCGTCTGCTTGAGGTGAGGACAGAAACCGGAGCAGAGTTCGACGGCGACATCTGGTTTTTAATGCAGGCGGGAAGCTGGAAAGTAGCACAAATGAAGTTTGTTTCTGACGTCTTGTCGCCTTATTGTCCAACGCTTTGTGTTTTGTGAGGCATCACTGTGATGTAAATTCCTTTATGTTGTTTCTGTTTGCACACACGAAACAGGCAGACGGTCTGAAAGCAGAACCGACTCCTACGAGGACGAGAAAGCCGCTAACGTTTAGTTTACCGCCACGTCAATCAAAAAATACAACGATGCTTCGTTCTGATTTCTTTATTCAAAATTCACGCTTATGTCCAAAACTAAATGTGCCGACGTGATGAAGTTCTGCTAACCGGCTGATTTAACATTTAATCTGGAGCTGAAAGTTCATCGTTTTCTCCTGACCGTATTGAACACTGTGACTAATCAGGATTGGTTGTGATGCAACAGGAAGAGCTCATCAGCTGGAGTTTGCGGAGGACGAGAGCTTCTGTAATTAGAGATTTGTCGTCGTCTCCAGACGTACTCGTGGACCATCGACGACGTCTGGATGACCAGAAGGTTCCCATCGCGTGTTGACTTTGTTTTCAGCTCGGTTGCAGCGTCCTTTAACTTCCACTTGTTGTATTTTTGGACATAATATCAGAATAAAAATATCTGTAGTTATGTTCGGACGAAGCAGAAATCCACTTTAAGATATCTACAGCAGCTTTACGACCAGTTCCAGTTTATCCAGAAACAACGATGAGCTGAAGTTCCGACTCGTCAGACATGAAGTTAGAACTCGTCGTTGGTCCTGGAAGAAAGATGACGGATATTTAAAATGTCCTCTTTGACTAGAACTATCTGGAACACATATCCAGTCGAGCTATTAAACGCTAACGCAGCTTTCCAAACACAACAGATTTCAACTGATCAACGTCGACAGTTGCTCTGTAGCTGCTCGTGTTTTGACTCGAAGCGTCGACGGTTGATTGGAAACGGGCTTAACTTTTTGACATTTCCTTCACTTAGTTGGGTTTTTCACAGCTTTGACCAGGAGTCGGGTCGAGCTCGCGTTAAATCGGCTGCGATCCCATCAACACATTTAATTTCCTCCCCCTCATCCGTCCACAATCATTTCACCTGAACTCCGGTCCGCTGATGCAGTACGGTCCCGGCTTGGCCCCTCCCCCAGTCTCTGACATCACACCGACATCATCACCTCCACATAAGGAGGAAACCTGGGCGGCCGTCGGGTCGCTGGGAGTGACGTTGATTTTGAAAACTGAGTGTTCTGTATTTGTATTTTTACTGAACTAAAATAAAAAAAACAGAAAAGAAAACAAATAAAGTTAAACTATCTGTAAATATGTTTAAAACTGAGACACAAATTCAATAAAGATGTTATGAAAAGTGATCAGAAAACGAGAGCAGATTCTTTGTTTGAACTTCGTGTGATGTTGAATCTGGTTTGTTTTTATTTCAGCTTTTATTGTCACTTGTTATACACGATTTTAACTCTTAATTTAATCAACACGGGGCAATTAAATTAAAGATAGCACCCTGTGTAGTTGTAATGAGGGTGGAAATTAGCTATAGAGACCAAAACTGTTTTTATTCAAGGCTGTAAACGTGTTTATTTCTGCTGTAAAGTCTGATATTTTAACATGGAGGTCTATGAGGATTGAGAGTCTGCCTCAAGTGGCCATTTGGGGAACTGCAGTTTTTGCCGCTTTCGGTTGAAATACCAGCAATATTCATAAAATTCTGTTTACTTCCAATTCTGTTTACTTCCAGCTGTACCTGATGGTAGATGCATACCTGGTGAAGTTAGCATCACGGTGTTAGCATGCAAGCATTAGCATTTAGCTCAAAACATTGCTGTTCCATATGTGACCCCACAGAGCTGATAGTGTGGCAGCAGAACACTGACTGGCCGACAACGGCTTCTCATTTTAGTCTAGATGAGGTCAATTTATTGACGAAGTTTAGAAATAGGCCTGATTGAATGGAGCCAATAAGAACCAGATCAGGACAGCAAACCTCCATTAAACACGAGGAATATGTGAATATCTCCAGATTAGTTTAGATTTAACGTCAGCTTTGTTCACATGTGTTTGACAGAATAAATGTGTCCGACCGGCGCGGCGGCTCACATGCTAATAAGCGTCTTTCCTTTGTGGTGGTTTTGGTTATTCTCGGACTGTTTCTTCTCAGAGCTAATGCCTTTTTAATGCCCCGTTCGCCGCCATCGCACTTCTCTGGCTTCGTCTCAACACGCAGCGAACACAAGAAGTCATCTGTTCTCGCTGTGCTTCAGCTGAGGTTTTTATTTAGCAAATGGCTGTTATTCTAACGAAGCTATCGCAGCGAGTATCAGCTCAAACGCGCTCGGTGTTGCTGAGCTCGGAGTCGTTTTCCACATGAAGTAAATCAGCCAGCGTGAGGTCAGCTCTTCCCAACACAGTGGTGCCCTTTCCTTCCTTTTCTCTTTGTTGTTGGAAGGACTCGGGATGGAGAACAGATCGTGTTGTTCTGTTGTTGTGGAGCAACTTTTAACAGAAGATCATCAAGTAAAGGTTTAGTCGGATGCTGTCATCGTTTTGGGGGAAATTTGGCGGCAGAAAGGCGGCAAATTAAAGGAAAAAATAACAAAGTCAATATAAAGAAATGTCCATGAAATCCATGCAGGGGAGTCCAGATGGAAACAACTGTTTGAACAACAATGTGATGATTTCTGGGAGTGTGCGTCCATCACTGGGTTCATATTTGTGTTTTTGAGTGAGATAACTAAACAGCTGTTGCACCGATTGCTCTAAAATTTGGTGCAACTGTTGTTTATTGAGTAGCGATGATGTGACGATGATGAAGAAATTCTCCACTGATGTTGGTTTTTTTTAAATTTATTGGAACAAGTACAACATGTCAGACGTCTGTGAGAGGAATTAAAAAAATCCCCCCCAGACCAACCTTAACCCCTGGCTTATATCGGGGAGGTGTTTACATGAGCGATGGACGTATGTGTTCGGTCCTACTGGGAGTCACATGCTCTGGATAATGTGACAGATTTTATCCTGAATGCTTTATTTATATATCTGTAAGGCCCGTAGTTCCAGGATCCAGACATGACCTTTCTGACCTGGGGACTCCAATCATAAACGATGATGATGCCACACAACCATTCGTTCCCTTCAGGGTCCCATCGGTGACCATCATCAGGTCCAACACCTGCGTTCAAAACTGAAAACCTGCTGAACCGATGATCTGACGCCGTCGGTTCACTCCGGCAGCCCAAAGAGCAGAAGCAGGTTCTTTATTATCTCCCAACTCGCTGTAAAAAGCTTGTGATTAAATGAAAAGTCCGATTGTTTGAGAAGCTTCGGAGGAACAGTTTAAACTGAAAGCTGTAGTTGGAAACGGAAAAAAGAAAAGAAAACGCCGTGAGCTGTCTTTTTGTCTTGTTGTTTCCTCTTTTGCTTTCTGAAGCAGGACTGCCTGGTAATTAATATCAAACCACCGATGACGCCGGTTTCGGACAAACACTGGCATCAGTAAAAACCTAATCTGGTTTGTGAGTCGGCAGGAAATTCAGCCATAAACGGCAGATATTTTATGGACATTTACACATTACATCATCACAATAAAACCTCCCGCCTCGGCCATGAAGCAGAAAATTACCACAACCAGGTTTCACAATGAATTAAACGACTGCAGCACTTGTTTTGGGTACAAACTACCATCATAAGCTCCAATGAATCCACTAATGTCCTCCTCTGTCCCTCCGTCAGACCAAACATGGCAGCGCCGCCGTCGGGTTTTATCGTCTCGCCGTTTGTTTGGCTGCTGAAGCTGCAGAGCGACGCCAGAATCTCCTCATAATAACGCTAAATGTTCGCTACGAGTGTTTGTCCCCAACGTGGTATTTCATATTCACCAGAAACATGAGCTGACGGTTGGTGTTTTTCCTTCCTCAGTAACAAAACTGAAACCAAAGTGACGTCCGTGTCGTGGTTTTATCCACCAGCACCTGAACGTCTTTGGTTTACTGTGAATCCTGTTAAAGCTCAGCGGCAGTTTTGGTTCGTTTGAAGTTTTGTTCTTGGACAGTAAAATACAACCAGGTTCGTTCTTAGGGTGGAAAATGTAAGACGTAATTCTGATTTTGGCTCCAATTATAAGAAATGAATGTTCATGATCAAGTCTGAGTCATTCCTGGAGTCTGAACTCTTCAGCAGGAACCAGCTGATTTGTGCGACATGATTAAGTTTAAATATTTCTGAATATTTCACACAAGGACCTGAATATATTTAGCCTCGATGGAAACACAACCGCTGGACGGAGTCTGAAGGTCGCTTTTCTTTCCGATGCGTGTCCAGAAATGTTTCCTGGCTCGCGGTGTGTTCGTGTCGGTGTGAAGGTCAACAGGTGTTTCCTGCTGCGAACTGCAAAGCTGTGACCCGGGCAGAGCCGATAACGGGGACGGGTCCCGTCCATCTGGCAGAACACTGATCGATGCTGCGTGTCAGGACTACTGGAGAGTTTGGAACCTGCTGCCCAGAATTATTCAAAATTTATTGTTTGGATTTATGGTCAACTTTTGTTTGACCAGCAACAAGATAGCAACTGACAAAAGAATATTTTTATGTTTGTTGTTTTGTTGTTGTTGTTGTTTTTGCATTTTTACAGAAAAATGCCATGTTCAGAATTAATCACATCACTTTGAATTATACATATAATATGAATTTGTCACCAATTTTGATTTATGTCTTTTTTTTCTTTTTTTTAAAACAACAAATTAACAAGCTATAAAAAGACGGTTTTATTTATTTATTTGCATTTTTAATGTTCGAAATTATTCAGATCACTTCATTGACACCAGTTTTAATTTATAGGGTTTTTTTGTTTGTTTGGTTGGTTTTTTTTGTTTTGTTTTTTGGACCAATACCAAGTTAACAAATTTCTTTATTTTATTTGGGATTTTTATTTTTTTAATTTTGTTTTTGCATTTTTACTGAAAATGCCATATTCAAAATTATTCATATCACTTTAAATCTAATTTAATTTGCCACCAATTTTTAATGATTTTTTTAATTTTTATTTTGAAGAAACAACAAATTAACAAGTTACAAAACACTATTTAATTGTTTTTTAGGAGGGTTTTATTTTTTTTTTATTTCCATTTTTTTACTGCAGAATTATTCACATTACACGAAATTATTCAGTTTCTAAAAATTGTCTCCAATTTTGATTTCTAGTGAATATTTGATTGACCAAAACCAAGTTCACAAGTTACAGAAGACATGTTCAGACTTATTCAATTAAAGTAAACTGACTGATGAGGTGGTTTACGGTTCAGGTGGTTTAAGGTTCAGGTGGTTTAAGGTTCCGGGTGTTTCCTTGGATCACTGAGAGAGAACGAATAAGTTTGGACGTGATGTTTTTGTGATAATGTAAAAAAAGACGCTAACATCGCCGCTAACGTCTGTAACGCGGTACTTCACCATCTTTAGTCGCTTGTTTACGTCGTTTCCAGCAAAACAAACCTCATGGTTCAATAAAAATCCTCTTTAAAGCCAAATGTAGGTTAACTGGAGACAAGCTGCTTCGCATTAGCTCATAAATACGTCCACATGGCTGCTTGTAGCCTCGTCAGACGTGAATGTGATCAGATCGCTTCATGTTCTGAAGCTATGTTTGTGATATGAGTAAAAATGAGAGTCTTGACAGTTTTTTAGAAAATCAGAAGATCATTAAACGTCTTTTAAATTCATCGGTATGCAGAGCTGCTGCGATCTGAGTGACTGAAGTCTGTGGATGTTGGAGGCGTCCAGAGAGATCAGGACTGATTCATAGTGAAGACCCGAAAAAAACAACATGAAAAGAATCAAGTCTAGTTCTGCCTTTAAACTGTTCTTCAGTAAACCTGTTGGTTCCTCAGGCTTCATCCATGTTTATGTGCAGTGTGCAATAAAATCAGCTATCAGCTGTTTATTTGATTTAAATAAATATTGGAAATAATAATGACTTGAAATTGGCCAAAATGACTCAAACCTTGTTTTTTTTTGTTTGTTTGTTTTTTGTTTTTTAAAGAAACAACTCAAGCTAAATCTAAATCACTTGAAGCTCATCCAAAATTACTCAAAACTGATCCTAAATACTTCAAGACCTGCCCAGACTAACTCAAACGAATCAAAAATGATTTAAAAAATGTCTCCTAATCTGTTCAAAATGACTCAAGATTGACCAAAATGACTTGAAACTCATGAAACATTACTCTGAAGTTGTACAAAATGGCCCCAGAACTGTCCCAAAAGACTCAACTTTGGAAAAAATACCCCAAAATTTGCCTGAAATAATTTGAATGAAGCAAAATTTGTCCAATGTGGCTCAAGATTAGTGCAAAACATCTCAAAATTCGTCCAAAA